AGCACCAAGGTAGAGATGAATAGCAAGGGTAGAGAGATAGTAGAGAAGAAAATATCAAGGTTCATAGAGCAAGGGTTTTTGTAGCAACTTCTAAACCTTAAAATGACCAGTTTCTACTAGGCTTGCGTCCTACAATTAGCATTTGCTTTGGTACCACTTTGTAGCACCCGGTTTTAAGAACAAAACTAGATACACACCATCGTGTTGGAGTACGAGGCCGATACCTAGGAAGAGCATTAGGAAGTGCAGCAACCGGAGGTCCCAGGAGAAGGCGAGCCCGATGGTGAACAGTTGCCCGAGTGCCCAGATCACCAGCCCTCAACCTTTGTGAAAGGCAAGCCCCGGAGCATTCTAAGCCTCCTATGTTTTTGAACTATCAACTTGAGTCCTTTTATGTTGATGCATTAAGTACTAGGAGTTGATTGGAACCACTTGCTGCATATATCTTCCTTGTCCAGATATATATATCTTGAATTCTATGTAGGTCTAGGATCGAATATATGCTTAGCCATGCTTAGTCGGTAGAAGTTGGGTGATTACCTGTCACCTGCCTGATATAGGCTAATAACTAATCACGGTTGGCTATATGTGCTAGCGTGGAATATAACCATGTGTCAAGGAATAAAGGAGACTGGGAGGTATCATGATAGAGAAGCAACAAGGCATGGAGGTCTTGGGTGCCTATCTATCCCCGTCGCTGTCGATTAAGGATCGATTCGTTGTACGTCCTCATGTCATGTTGAACGCATGCCTAGCACTTAGTTGGCCAGATCTGGTGATACGACCACGAAGCCGAGTAGCTCAATTTAGGCCAGGCCCCGATAAGTGAAAGTGCGCACACTGGAGGCAGTAAGGATGTGCGGAGAGCCAATGGCGTGAGTCCAAGGGCAGGACCGGGTCCTAATCTTCCTGGCAGATTGTTAGAATCTCTGAGGGTGCAGCGCTGATTGGACCCACGAGTTAGTCCTGAATTGTACCAAAGGTGACCTGAGGCTACCTTCGTGGGGTGTGCCTCGGTTTGTGTTAAGAATAAATTCTCCAGCTGGGTAGGAATCGATTCGAATCGTCGTCTCTCCCGGATAGTGAGAACTTGACTGAGCAGCGGCAACGTAGAGTAACTTAATGGAAACTTGATGGTTATGATGATGCTCAAATTATTCTTATACCAGCTATGGTTACTAATGCTTGTTAGCTTAATCAAGTGATTGCTCTAGTACAGGTGCTAATCTAGAGATGCTTAATTGAATAGGTATTCAAATTGATGCTAGAGGTACTAAATCTCCAAGTTATATTACTTGAGCTTTTATGTAAAATGTTGCCTAACTAAATCCACCTTTAAAGCCTTGCATACTCCTTGGTGTCTCATTATTTTGGTTTATGACAGGTAAGTCTAGCTGAGTATATTCTCGTACTTAGGGTTTATTCCCATTTGTTGCAGATGCCGTGATGTACCATGGTTACTGCAAGCATTGTATAACTCCTATAGTTGACGGAGAGTAAGACCAAGGTCATGGTCATTCTATATCATCTCATCTGTGTGCTTTTGTTGGAGATGATCCTAAACTGGCTATGTATTTGATCTATCGTGATGTTATTTCAAAACTATGTTACTTCCTCTACTTCTAAATTTGGGTTGTAATAACTTCGTTGAAACTCCGATGAATGAGAACTATTTGTGAACCTGTTGTAACATGTGACTAGTTGTGTTGAATTATGTATGATCTTGGTTTGTATGTTGATTGTTGAGATCCTTGATGATTTCATCGGACTACCGGATTTATATGGGTTCAAGTATGACGGTTTGATCGCTTAGGTGATTGCTATTGTACTTGTGCTGTTATAAATTGGACGGTTCTGTTATAGAATTATCCCATCTATTGTTTGGTTTGAGGGGATATGGTTAGAGAAAATCTCCAACATATCATCAACCATCAACTACCCTAATAAAGTTGTATTGGGATACACCAATATTATCTTTTAGATTTATTAGAGATGTTTTTGCGTATCACCAATGCGGCAGTCAATGGAACGGAGGAGTTACCAGGGAGGTCCATGTTCTCCTATATTTTGGGTGTAAGAAAAAGTACTGGTGATCACTATTAAAAAGGGATGTGAAGTGGGATTTGTTGGAGTAAGGAACAAACCTCAACTTTACAATTAATAGATTTTTTTTTGGAAAAGGAATATGCTAGACAACTCCACCAGACTGACTAACCAGATCTATTTCCATATATAACAAGCAACAATGTGAATTAGTTAGGTGTAAAAAGTGAGCTCCGATAGATCCCTTTCCGATCCAATTTTCATATGAAAATTCTCAACTCCTCAAAAATCTCTCTTCTCTCCCTCGAAGAAAGAGGAAACACCAGTGATTTTTTCTTAATCCCCTTCTCTTTTGTCTACTCGCAATCGCCATTGCTCGGGTTGCCACTGGCTGGAGTACTTGCTGCTGCCAAACGTCCACCATCAGGGTTGGCTGCGCCGCCGGATGTGAGCTGAGCACCACTAGCGGTGGTTCTGACTTCTGAGAGAGAAGGGAGAGAGAAAATAGAGAACAGAGAGGAGAGGATAGGAGACATTTATCACATTGGTATATGTCTCACGTAATAAAATGATCAAGTTTTGTCGATGTGCTGCAGCATCCCTTTTTTCCCTATTATTTGACCTAGCACATTTTGATTTGAATAAAGTCCACTGGCAGTCCTTGAACTTGTTCAGCTATGTCATTCTAGTCTCTAAACTCGCAAATCAACCGTTTGAGTTCTCAAACTTGTTCATTTGTGTTATCCCGGTCCCTAAACATGCAAATCGCCTGTTTAGGTCCTCAAACTTGTTTGACTGTGTCATCCCATCCCAAAACTTGCAAATCACCCATTTAGGTCCTCAAAATTGTTCAGTTGTGTCATGCTGCTCCCTAAATTCGCAAATCGCTCATTTAGATCCTCAATCTGTGTTTCGATCTTAGAGCTAGTCTAAACACAAGACTACATCCATGCTGGTACGCTGACGTGGTATGTTATATGTGGGGCCCACATGCCAGCTTCATCTTCCTTCTCCATCCTCTCTTTCCCTTGAACTCCGTCTCTTCTCTAGTTAGTTCACGGCTTAGGGACCAACACAACTTGAGAGACACGGCTGGGTTTGGTAGCGACACAGCTAGGGTTTGGTAGTGACACAACTGGAGTTGGCACATCTGAAGGCTTGGGGTGGTACGACCATGTTGCCCTTGGAGGTGTCCTTACATACGCACATGGGTCTAGACCCATTTAGACAGGCTCTAAGACCCGAACATAGGTTGGGGATCTAAACTGGCGATTTACAAATTTAGGGATCAGAATAACACAACTGAACAAGTCTGAGGATCTAAATGGGTGATTTGCAAGTTTAGGGACTAGGATGACACGGCCGAACAAGTTTGAGGGCCTAAACGGACAATTTACAATTTTAGGAACCGGGATGACATAAATGAACTTGGAGACCTAAACGGGTGATTTGCGAGTCTAGAGACCGGGATGACACTGTCAAATAAGTTCAAAGACCACTAGTAGAATTTACTCTTTTGATTTTAGCATGTGGACTGACCAATTCCACCTTTGTTCAGCCAAAGCAAAATTTCCTAGCCTAAAATTCTACTTTCTGAATAATCACCTATAGCAAATTTTAAGAGAGAGAGAAGAAATCTAGTGGACTACAATCCTACCCCTAATTTTATGTTTTCTCCTCATTATATTTTTTTTCTCCTCATTATATTTTCTCCACCCTTTCTTGGGCCAAATTAACCTTAACTGTGACTGCCATGTGGGCCTGAATTTCGTCATCTTCCTTCCAATTCTCAAATCGTGGACATGGAATGCTCTCCCGTCCAGACTTCAGCGCGGCCACCTGCTGCTTCGCTGCTCGCGCTCGCCAACCGCTTGCTTCATGCCGCGGCGCACTGCTGCTCTTCCATGCCATCTGCCGCTCCGCTCACACCACCGCTCGCCACCGCCGCCGCTCGGCCGTGGCGCCCGCTCGCCAGCTCTACAAGGATAGGGATGAAATGGACAGTGCCTGCCTCGTGTTACCACACCGAATGTCTCTCTCGTGCACATCAAGTGGAGGGGGGCAAGGAACGGGGATTACCCCGTCCTTTGGATTTGGAGGAATGGAGCCGCCCTGCATCATAGAGGTATATATTTTCATCTAGGATCACTTGTCTCTTATGTCTCCAGTCAAAACACCTGTAACTGTAAAAGAGGGACCAACAGAATTTCATCCTTCTTTGAGCTTGCGACCAAACATACGTAGAAATTTTTGAAGATTAGCCATCTCCTAAAATTGTATTTGTAGTAATGAGTTCCAAATTGTGAGACTTAATTCAAACTTCTTTAGCTTTGATGGTTCATACACAAATGTGTTAATATTTGGAAAGCCAAAAAAATGTACTATCAATATATATTTTAAGTTTGATATGATAAAACTATTTTGATGTGCTAGATATTAAACCCCATTCTCCTATAAACTTAGTCATAGTTATACTAGTTTGACATATATAGGACAAGAACAAAACTAACATGACCTACAATTTGTAATAGAGGGAGTATATTTAGTATATCATAAGGAATATTAATATGTTGTTTGATGTACAATCAGTGGTGCACCATCTTCATTTTAATGCTACTTCTGCCTCTGCTACTTTGGTGAGTTGGTCCCTGCCTGTAGACATTCATATATAGGTAGCGTGCACTTGTGTGTGGTCTGTGGTGGGGTGTGTCTGAACGTCTGCATCCACCCCCTATTTTAACAAAACACCACCCTCACATTTGGCACTACCAAATTTTTTTGTAGGGTCCGATATGCAACAAGCATAGCTTGCTTCCACCATGCATATATAGTAGCAAACAATGAGAAAAGACAGGAGAAGCGATTAAGCAAGAGCACAAGAAACAAGAAAGGATCAAATAAACAAGAGATTAACAACAAAGGAGTTTGAAGAGGTCAATTGTGCTGGGGCTTTAAGTATGGAAGAGGACAGCAGGAGGGTGGAAACGGTGCGGATGGGGAGCAACCCGGGTGTACGGGCATCGTCATCATGGTGGGCGTCGAGAGGAAGCAATGCATTCTGGTCGTCGGCGAGGGAGGAGGACGACGAGGAGGTGTTGCGATGGGAGGCCATAGAGAAGCTGCCCACCTACGACCGCATGAGGAAAGGCATCCTCACAGCAGTGGGCGCTGGCATGCAGGAGGTGGACATCCAGGGGCTCAGCATGCAGGAAAGGAAATGCCTCATCCAGCGCCTCATCCGTATCCCCGAGGAGGACAACGAGAGGTTCCTTCTGAAGCTGCGAGAACGGATGGAGCGGTGATCACTCATAACTAGCTCCACTTCATTCTTCCTGTTATTGATCAGACACTTTTGAAAACTTCAGAAGCACCTGAAGAATGATATGCACAAGCATGAGAGAACTGTTTGATTATGCACCTAATTTGATTTTTGAGCATATGTACTCAAGTCATCTTGATTTCCATGGTAAATTTCTAAGGTTGTTTTGTTTGGTAGAGTTGGGATTCAGAACCCGACAATAGAAGTGCGGTTTGAGCACTTGACCATCCACACGGAGGTCTATGTTGGCAAACAAGGAGTCCCAACATTCACCAACTTCTTCTCCAACAAAGTCATGGTATGCATTTGTAGTGGCATAAATATTCATGCTTCCTAGCCGTGGGAAAAAGGGTTGTCAAATTTCTTCAGCAGTTCAGCTCCTGACTGTTGTGAGCTGTTCCTATCTCAGGATGCGCTGACTGCTTTGCACATTATCTCCAGTGGGAAGAGACCTATCTCCATCCTTCATGACATAAGTGGAATCGTAAGACCGAACAGGTAAGAAACCAAGAGCTTCAGAACAGAATATAGAAATGATTTTGCTTTAGGTTGGAGTTTAGTCACCACGTGGAGTTTGTTCAGAATGTCTTTGTTACTAGGTGCTCCTGGATCTGGGAAAACGAGTCTACTTCTAACTTTGGCAGGGAAACTTGATTCAACCCTAAAGGTATCACAACACGCATGCTTCTTGAGTCTGAGTTGTTATTAACTTAAAGGTAGAAGACTACTTCAAAGAAAATTAAACTAGCTACAGGTTCTAACAAGGCTCTTCGATGAACTTTGTAATGGTATTCTTCAGGAATCAGGAAGGGTGACTTATAATGGACATGACATGGACGAATTTGTCCCCCAAAGTACATCGGCATACATAGGGCAGCACGATGTTCACATAGGTGAAATGACGGTCCGTGAAACATTGACATTCGCTGCAAGATGTCAAGGAGTTGGAACACGTTATGGTATGTATGGATATGTAACAAGTCACACATGGACATGGTCATATGAAAGGAAGGGCCTTTTATTTAGTAACTTCTATGCATGGTGTTCTACATCACAGATATGCTTACTGAACTCTCAAGAAGGGAGAAACAAGCCAAAATTAGGCCAGATCCTGACATTGATGTTTACATGAAGGTAGAATGTCACTAAATTTGAATCCAAACCCTTATTTGAAAAAGAAGTAACAGGGGATCTTCAAAGTATTTGTGCTATTCTGTGCAAACAGGCCATCTCCCAGGAAGGACAAGAGAACTTCGTTACTGATTACATCCTCAAAGTGAGTTAAAAAAGAGCACATACACGAAGAAGGTACAGGAGAAATGGATATGCCCCTTCGCCCCTAACAGTAACATTATGCATTTCTTTTGCAGATTTTGGGTCTGGATATCTGTGCAGATATAATGGTTGGAGACTCTATGATCAGAGGTATCTCAGGGGGACAAAAGAAGCGTGTCACAATTGGTATGCAATCTGCAGCTAAGAACTATCCATACATAAAACCCTGAAGCATAACAGAAATATCTGACTTCTCAACCTGTTCGATTTGCATAGGTGAGATGCTTGTTGGGCCAGCTAATACACTATTCATGGATGAAATCTCCACTGGTCTGGACAGTTCCACGACCTATCAGATCGTCAACTCTCTAAGGCAGTCGGTCCACATCCTTGGTGGCACTGCACTCATCTCATTGCTTCAGCCTGCACCTGAAACATATGAGCTATTCGATGATATTATTCTCCTTTCTGAGGGCCAAATCGTGTACCAGGGTCCCCGAGAAAATGTCATTGAGTTTTTTGAGGCCACGGGTTTCAGATGTCCTGATAGGAAAGGTGTTGCAGATTTCTTGCAAGAAGTGAGTGATCTGGGAGAATGCCATTTACTGTACGTTCAGAATTCCTAGAATCCAATTTGACATTGTTTTATTTGAATGAACAGGTTACTTCTAGGAAGGATCAATACCAGTACTGGTGTAGAAGAGATGAGCCATATCGGTACGTCTCAGTAAATGACTTCGTAGAGGCCTTCAAAGTATTTCATGTTGGGAATGCATTGGGATTGGAGCTCCAAGTGCCCTTCGATCGAACCAAGAACCACCCTGCTGCCCTCACAACATCAAAGTTTGGTATCAGCAGGATGGAGCTTCTCAAGGCATGCTTTTCTAGGGAGTGGCTACTGATGAAGAGGAACTCATTCATTTACATCATCAAAGTAGTGCAGGTAAGAAACATGCATTTTGGCTCCTAAAATCTTCTCTATTTTGAAATTCAGATAGTTATAGATTCGGATGGTTGGTACATAATTGTACCAGCTCATGATCCTAGGAACCATTGCAATGACGGTCTTCCTGCGCACAAAAATGCATCGACACAGTGTCGAAGATGGAGTCATCTTTCTAGGCGCGATGTTCCTTGGCCTAGTTACACATTTGTTCAATGGTTTTGTTGAGGTTGCCATGAGCATTGCAAAGCTGCCAATATTTTATAAGCAGAGAGATCATCTCTTCTATCCATCATGGGCATATGCATTGCCTACATGGTTGCTCAAGATCCCAATATCATTCTTGGAATGCGCTGTGTGGACTGGCATGACTTACTATGTCATTGGTTTTGATCCAAGCATCGAAAGATTCTTCCGTCATTACCTACTGCTTGTACTAATAAGCCAGATGGCATCTGGTCTTTTCCGGCTTCTTGCTGCAGTAGGAAGAGACATGGTTGTTGCAGAGACGTTTGGCTCATTTGCTCAGATTGTCCTGCTGATTCTTGGTGGATTCTTGATAGCAAGAAGTATGTAATGTATTCATTCAGTCATCGTTTAGTGTCCAGTGTGTGGTACTTAGTTCTCTTTCTGCAGATAACATCAAGAAATCGTGGATTTGGGGTTACTGGTCCTCCCCTCTGATATATGCCCAGAATGCCATAGCGGTGAATGAGTTCCTTGGCAATAGTTGGCAGGTGGTGATCCAACCAATGCAGGCTTGATGTCTCTGAAGTTCAGATTGATAACTGAAATGACAAATGACATAAACTTTTGTGCAGGTCGATAAGACAGAAAACAATGACACACTCGGTGTCCAAATCCTAAAGGCACGCGGCATTTTTGTAGACCCAAACTGGTACTGGATTGGTGTTGGAGCATTGCTTGGATACATCATGATCTTCAATTTACTCTTTGTACTGTTCCTTGACTGGCTTGGCCGTGAGTATTCTCCAGTTCAAAAATAGATTGATTCACACACTTAAAAAATCTTATGTTTGTCTTTTAGAACAAAACCATCTTATGTTTGCCCTTTTGAAAAGAAACCATCTTATGTTTGGCATGATGTCATTCCTGTTACAATAGCACTTAGAAAAGGCCAAACTATTGTTTCTGAGGAGGAACTGAGAGAGAAGCATGTAAACCGCACCGGTGAGAATGTTGAACTGCTGCCTCTTGGAACAGACTGCCAGAATTCACCATCTGATGGTCTGTCATAAGTATTCTCTATTGTAACATGCGCTTAACAGTACTTGTCAGTCTTGCATCCTTTAAAGAATCCACTAATTACAATTGCAGGAAGTGGAGAAATCACCAGAGCAGACACCAAGAAGAGAGGAATGGTACTTCCATTTACGCCATTGACAATCACCTTTGACAATATCAAATACTCTGTGGACATTCCTCAGGTAAGCAATCTGTCATTTGTTTTTTAATGAACAACACACGAGAACTTTAAACATTTCATTAAAAAAAATACATACAACACAATCCTATGCTAGCACAGGCCAAAAACGAAAAACAAACAACACAGGCACAAAACAGAACAAGAATTATTTTCAAACAGAGACGGTAAAGTAGATTTTTATTTTTACGCATACAGAAACTGCTACTAGTAAATAGTAAGTACTAATTATACTCCACATATCTCAATCTATTTATCTTCTACAGGAAATGAAAGACAAAGGTATTACTGAAGACCGGCTACTACTGCTGAAGGGTGTAAGTGGAGCCTTCAGACCTGGAGCCCTTACGGCATTGATGGGAGTCAGCGGAGCGGGTAAGACGACTCTGTTGGATGTGTTGGCAGGAAGGAAAACTAGTGGCTACATTGAAGGAGATATTTACATATCTGGATACCCAAAGAAGCAAGAGACCTTTGCTCGGATCGCTGGTTACTGCGAGCAAAGTGATATCCACTCTCCACATGTCACTGTTTATGAATCCTCCTCCTATTCTCAGCATGGCTCCGGTTGCCCCTGAAGTTGACTTGGAAGCAAGAAAGGTAGATCGAATATAATGACCTTCATTTTGATAGCTCATAAGTAACTTGTTGACCTTTTTTTGTAATTGCAACGGATTACAAGAGCACTTGGTGTGACTGGATCACATTTTATGGACACAGATGTTTGTGGAGGAGGTTGCTGAACTCGTCGAGCTCTTGCCACTGAGAGGAGCATTAGTGGGGCTGCCAGGAGTGGATGGTTTGTCTACCGAACAGAGGAAGAGGCTCACTATAGCAGTTGAGCTTGTTGCCAACCCATCCATCATATTCATGGATGAACCAACTTCGGGACTAGATGCGAGGGCAGCTGCAATTGTGATGAGGACAGTCAGAAACACGGTCGATACTGGACGCACAGTCGTCTGCACAATCCATCAGCCCAGCATCGACATCTTTGAAACTTTTGATGAGGTAAGTAGCATAAATGATGAGAAAATTGTAAAAGTAATTCTCAAACCAATGTTCAGTTGTTAACGGTTACATGCGGTTCTTGAACTTTTGTAGTTGTTCTTGCTAAAACGGGGAGGTGAAGAAATATACGTTGGCCCCTTTGGGACACAAGTCATGCCACCTAATTAAATACTTTGAGGTGAGGTTCATTACTCACCTATAGCGAAACATCTATGTTTGACCTATGCCAGGCATGGTAAGTGGTAACCTGTAACCATGTTCGGTGCTACAAATGTATAGGGAGTACGAGGTGTGAAGAAAATCAAGGACAGTTACAACCCAGCAACATGGATGTTGGAAGTGACCACCCTAGCTCAAGAAGACATTCTTGGGTGCAACTTTGCTGAAGTATACAGGAATTCAGATTTATACCGGTATGTTCGGTGACACCAATTAGTTTTCTTGCTTTTACCTGTGCTCCATTTTTACGTTGCCGGTTGGGTTGCACCATTGTAGGAAGAACAAAAATTTGGTCAGTGAATTAAGCACACCTCGACCTGGATCCAAAGACTTGTACTTCCCAACACAGTACTCACAGTCCTTCATCATACAGTGCATGGCTTGCCTATGGAAGCAGCACAAGTCATACTGGAGAAACCCGTCGTACACTGCAACTAGAATCTTCTTCACCACACTTATTGGCTTTGTATTTGGAACCATCTTCTTAAGCTTAGGCAAGAAAGTGTAAGTAACACTTATTGCCAACTAAGGCTTGACATGTTGTGAGTTGTGACAAAGAAACCTACTTTTGCTTCACCTATCCTTTTCAGTGGCAAGAGACAGGACCTGTTCGACGCTTTGGGATCCATGTATGCCGCGGTTCTTTTAATTGGAGTTCAGAATGGCCTAACCGTACAACCGATAGTAGAAGTTGAGAGAACAGTATTCTATCGAGAAAAGGCTGCTGGAATGTACTCGGCTCTACCCTATGCTTTTGCACAGGTAAATGGTCGTAGCAAAATATTTGAATAATATCCCAAGTCCCAACTGACTGCCGGATTCTAACAATCTAACTCTTCAACAGGTTGTAATTGAGATCCCACACATCTTCCTCCAGACCGTTGTGTATGGTCTCATCATATATACCTTGATAGGCTTCGACTGGACAGTCCAAAAGTTCTTTTGGTACATGTTTTTCATGTACTTCACGTTCATGTACTTCACATTCTATGGGATGATGTTAGTTGCCATGACACCAAACAGTGACATCGCCGCCCTAGCTTCAACTGCATGCTATGCAATATGGAACATCTTTTTGCTGGCTTCATTATCCCCAGACCAGTAAGTCTCTAAGAGTAACTCCATGTACATTCGCAATATATTTGAATTTTCTTTGCAATGCTGAAGCATACATGACTGTTCTGCAGAGGATACCAATATGGTGGAGATGGTACTCGTGGACATGCCCAGTGGCTTGGACACTATATGGACTTGTGGCTTCCCAATTTGGAGACATTACAGATGTTAAGCTGGAAGATGGGGAAATAGTGAAAGATTTCATCAACAGGTTCTTTGGGTTTACGCATGATCACTTAGGTTACGCAGCTACTGCCGTTGTTGGCTTCACTGTTCTCTTTAGTTTCATGTTTGCCTTCTCCATCAAAGTATTCAACTTCCAGATAAGATAACAACACATCTCAAACAGATTCAGCTATGATTAGGCCCACTTTTAATATAGGCACGAGATAAATGTAAAATAACAGTAGCACGTGTGTAGTACGTAGTTGATTTATTCTATTAGGTGCATAAATGTTATTTCCGTTTAATTTTCCAAACACTTTAACCTGTATGTAAATTGTCCAACTACTATAAGGTAGTCTTTGGTTGGAGGGACCAGGTGGGACGGGATGGGACGGACTCAGTTCTAGTGGTGTTTTGTTCAAAGTCACCAGAGTCAAGGACATCTCAGGTGGAAATATTCCCCTTGATGTGGGATGACTGTGCCCCAAACCACTAAGGGACAGAGCCATCCCAGGTGGGACGGGAGCGTAGGCATCGTCTCATGTGATAGTTGAGTCCCGTCGTTATTGTCTCATCCTACTTTTTGGTGTCTCTACGTCAAATGTAAAATGAGTCGGTCCAATCTCTCCTCAACCAAACAAAAATGGGTTCGAGACAGGACCATCCCATTTCACCTTATCTTTGTGCCTAGTCCATAATTGTGCCACCACGAGCCCAAGAGGTAGTGCAGGCACGGCCCTATACTTTAGGCTAGGCCAAACTAGTACTGTGGTCATCAGGCTAGGCCAAACTAGTACTGTGCTTTTTATGGTTGAGCTTAGGATCAACCATTAAGGTAGCGTTGGTTGAGAGACCAGGCGGGGTGGGATGGTCCTGCCTCTCTCGGTTTGTGGGACTGGAATGAGTTCATTTTCTGTTTGGTTGAGAAAGGATGGGACCAACCCATTTTCTGTTAGGTTCAGAGACATCAAAAGTAGGATGAGCCACTGACAAGTAGGGTCCATCTGTCAGTTTTTTTTCTTTTTCTTCCTTCTCTTATCCCTCTCGCCCTCAACCGCAAAACCAACACCACCAGGCTCAATGCGGCTCAAGACGCACACTGCCGCCTCCCCTGCTGTCCTGTTGCCCCTGCCGCACGTAGCTTGGCCACGCACCACCCCATCGGCAAACTTGGCTGTAGGCTGCCCGACGTCTCCTCCTCTGCAGCGACGGCGGCGGCAAGGCCGGCCCCAGAGCTCTCACAGGTCCGCGCGCCTCGTCGGGGGCGGAGCTCGCCCCATGGCCGCACGCCAGTGGCTGGGGCAGAGCTCGTGCTCCCATAGCCGCATGCCGGGGCCAGGGCTCGGGCGAATCTATGCCGAGCTCTTCCCCTCCGTGTCCGACGACGAGCTCGCTTTCTTCATCAACTCCGGCGTACGGTGTGTCCTCTTCTTCATTAGGCTTCTCTTCTTCATCTCCGCGGGTCGAGCTCCTCTTCTTTCTCACGGGCTCGCTTTCGTCCCATGGGGATGACCCGTCCGCCAAATCTGAGGGGACGAGCTCGCCCCTAGATTCCCTAGAATATCCTAGGTGGGACGTGCTTGACTCTAGTTGTCCCCAAACCAAACCCCTAAAATCTGGGTCCATTCCACCCCCATCCCATCTCATCCTTGGAACCAAACACTACCTAAGACTAGACCATTTGACCATCTTTATATGTGGCCAGGAGCAGGCTAAGTTTTTTTTTTTTGATGATTATTCTGAAATTTCCAATGGAGATCACCGTGCACTCGTCCAAGCCCGTGAAGCCTGACTACGTCGGAGGCAATAGTGCCTCGGCCGCCGTCGTCCCGCTCAGCGTGTTTGACAAGGTGAACTACGATGAATACATCTTCTACGTATACGCCTTCCACCCGCCGGCACCGCCCGACGCCGTCCTGGAGGCGGCGCTCGCCAAGACGCTGCCCGAGTACCGCGAGTGGGCAGGGCGGCTCGGCGTGGACGCCAGCGGCAACCCTGCGATCATGCTCAACGACGCTGGCACACGGTTCGTCGAGGCGACGGCCGACGCCGAGTTCGGCGGCAGCACCGTCATGCTGCTTACGACGGGGCGCATGGTGCTGAGCCTGTACCCGAGCTGCGACGGCGTCGAGGAGTTGCTGGTGGTCCAGGCCACGCGGTTCCAGTGCGGCTCCCTCGTCCTCGGCTTCACCCTGCGTCACAAGGTGGCCGACGGCCCTGCCATGTGGAACTTCATGGTCGCCTGGGGGGCCAGGCCACTCGCGGCGTCGCCATCGACCCTGTCCCAGTGCACGACCGGAGGTCGCTCTTTGCACGACGAATTGCCGCCGCCGCCGCTGCAGATCAAGTTCGAGCACCGTGGCGCCGATTTCAAACCTCGCGGCGAGAGGTCGGGAAGCGACGGTGGTGTCGTCGTCCGTGCCGACTACGACGAGGTGGTGGTACACAGGGTGCACTTCGGCCGGGAGTGGATCACGGAGCTGAAGTCGCGTGCGTCGCACGGCGGCGCTCCGCGGTCGTATACCACGCTGCAGTGCGTGGCGGCGCACCTCTGGCGGTGCGTCACGGCGGCGCGTGGGCTCGACGGGCGCCAGGCCACCAGGATCCGCATCGCCGTGAACGGGCGAGCCCGGATGGTCCGGCCAAGGGTGCCGGAGGGATACACCGGCAGCGTCGTGCTCTGGGCGTGGCCGGCGACCACCGCTCGAGAGCTGCTGGGCCGGCCTCTACGGTACGCCGTGGAGCTCATCGCCCGGGAAGTTGCCCGGATCGACGACGCCTACAGCAGGTCGTTCGTCGACTTCGCGAGCTCCGGGGCCGTGGAGGAGGAGCAGCTGGTGCCGACGGCCGACGCGGCAGAGGTCCCGCTGTGCACGAACATGGACGTCGACTGCCTGCTAGCGATCCCGTTCCACAAGCTGGACTTCGGCTGTGGCCCGCCGTTCTTCTTCAGGCCCGGCTACGGTCACGCGCCGGTGGACGGCGCCATCTACATCCTGAGGTCGTTCCGGGGAGATGGGAGTGTTGACGCTTACGTGCCTCTGTTTAGCCGCCACATGGACGCCTTCATGAGGTGCTGCTACTCCTTTCCGACGACGCCGACCATGGCCGGCGCACGGCTTTAATGCTTTCTAGGATCCTCTTCAGGATACCAGAGCATTTGTTGGTTCTTTTTGCACAGCTTGGCGTTTCTTCTTGACGTCTTGGTTTGGAAATTATTTTGAGAAAAACTCCTGGAAGAGCCCTGCTGTTACTCCTGGAGTATCCACGTTATACCACAGAGGTCAAATATAAAGGGAATATGGGTCTGTCTATTGATAATTCAGGTGATTTACACCTTCTTGTCACCCGAGTGACAGAACACATTAAATCACTCGATTCTAGCAAATAAAACAAATCGAGTGATTCAAGGCTCTACGTCACTCGATTCCCATAACCACAAGATCCACATCCAACGAACCAAATAAAATAGATCAAATTCAAAGCAAAAAAAAATACATAGAAAAAATACAAAATAAACAGATCAGTTCTATGAAAGGCAAATTAGAAGAAATTCAAAGCAAAAAACAGAAAAAATACAGATTTAACAGATAAGTTCTATGAAAGACAAATTAGCAGAACATCAAAGCAAAAATACATAGAAGAAATACAAATTTAACCAAAATAAAACATACAGAAAATAAGAAAGAGCCAAAAAATAATCAGATAACTATTCGAGTAATTCTGACTATTTCTAGTTACGAATAATTAATTTACACCAATTGAAAATCAATTTTACACCTAAACTGAAATAGTAAAATATGATATAATAAAATGTAATTTGCTTTGCATGTATAGGAGCGAGTTGACGTGATGTGATGGCCACGAGTCTCTGCACAAAGCAATATGCGCCTGACCACCTTGCCGAGAATGTGCATGCACCCATACTGCAGCAGAGGCAGATGTTGCAGTAAGCAGACAAGCACTCATAACCACTGTTTTTTTGAGCACACACTCATAACCACTGTTGTTCTATAGAGAAAAATACAAACAGCAGCTACAGCCTACTGAAACTAGCACAGCCGACTCGCAGCAGCATGCATATGAATACATGATCCCGCGCAGGGGCCTAACCGAGACACCCTGCCACCCTGGGCCCCGCGACCATCGTATTCGTTGCAGGCCCGGATCTGACGGCCGCAAAATCGAGTGACCGACGGCCGAATAATGCTCGGGTGAGGTATAGATTAATCGAATATAAAACACTCATCTATTATCACTACGATAATGCTCACACACGGGTGTCAGATCGTCCGGATGCTCGCTCACGTTGGTGTGGGCCGCGACATTCCGAATGGCCAACAACTTTCTCCTGCGCTCGTCTTCGTGTTTCTTTCGTTTGGCTGCTGTCTCCACCCACCTAGAAAAGTCACTCTCCACTCGTCGCAACGTCCGCACCATCGCAGCGTGGTCCACTGTGGCAGCCTCGCCACGATGCTCTCCACCACGCCTGGCCAACCGGCGGTTTCCAGCCTCCATTTCCACTGTCTCCATCGTATCTGAACACCGGCGGCCGCCTTCCTCCCACTCCACCACGCTCACCAACAGTTGCACGATTTGTATTCTCCATTGCGCTTGCCTGGCCACTTTGGTCCCTTTTTGACGGCAACTCGCGTCAGGAGCGGTGAACAATCGACCTTCCCCTCTTTGTCCACCACCCCCAATCTGCTTTCTCGCTCGCCCGATCCCCACAAGGTGGGCCGTGGCCCCAGCGATGCTGTGTTTCAAGTGTTTCAGGCGTTTCAGACTTGGATGTCGCAAAAGTAGATATGGGATGTTGCATATGTTGCAATGTCAATATAGCATGTTGCAAGCCTATGTTTCAAGTGTTTCAGGTGTTCAGACGTATGTTTTAAGTGTTTCATCTGGAAGTTGCATATGTTGTTATGGCTATACATGCATGTTTCAAGCGAATGTTTCAAGTGTGATGTTTCGGATGTATGTTGCAAGTGTTTCATCTGGATGTTGCAAAAGTAGATCTGGATGTTGCATATGTTGCTATGTCTATACACGTATGTTTCAAGTGTTTCATCTGTTTTTTAGACGTATGTTGCAAGTGTTTCATCTGAATGTTTCAAAAGTAGATATGGAGAACCACATGTTGCAATGGCGCCAGTGGCTGACGGACAGCAGCCTACTACAACTGCTTGCTGTTGCTAGGGCGTCGCCATGGGTCACTGTGCGGGCGCCTGAGGCTGACAGACGCCTCCGCAACGCGCATCCGCAAGAAGGGGCAGGTAACTGGGACCCACGTGGATTTCCTGCGCGCGGGCGCAGTAGTCATCAAGAGAAACAGAGCAAGCGCAATGGTAGGACGGGCAACGTGGGATCCACGTGGTGGGGCGTGCAAAAACAGGCGGGCGCGCTTCCGCCTATTACCGCGAGCCATGTCCGGACACTAGTGTCTCCGTTATCATTAATGATGGGTGTTATCACTAAAATGAGCTGTCATTTCCCACATATTTTGTTTAAGTTTGCTTGTGACAGCAATTTCAAGAGATCATTTTAGTGATAATACACCCATCATTAATAGTCTGTCATCGCCTCAACGAAACCGCGCGCCCGCGTCGTTGAGGAGGACCGCGCGGCTTACCGCCGCCATCACCGTGCACGCAGAGCCGCCCGGCACACTCGCGGTACTCAGTGAGCGACCTGGCGAGACCCGCCTCGAGCACGGCGTTCGGTGGTGACCGTGGACGGAAGAAGTTTATGCCGAAGATGTACTGGTCGCAGTTGAGTATCTAGCTAGCGGCATGACGGTGCATGCCGTGCACAACGCCATCAAAGTAAGTGGGCCGCGGACATTGACGAACGAACCCTGCTCACGCTGTCACAGACCCGTTAGTTTTTTTTTTCTTTGAGAAACACAGACCCAGTTAGTTATCTGCTGTAGCTGCTGAATGTTTTTTATTTTACTAGCAAATATGCACGTGCAATACACACGTTGCTAACAGCAGCATCTGCATCACATCACCATCAGCCTCCCCAACTGTCTATTAGATGCATGTGATGCTTATCTCCTTGCTCCTCCTCGTCGGCGCTGCCTCGAAGACGCTGGCGACGCTGCCAGAGAACGCGAATGCGTCGGGCTTCACGTCGTGGGCGTTCGGCGACGCCCCGTACACGGCATACGGGCTCGTGCTCTGCCGCGAGGACTTCCTCGGCAACCAGGGTGTTTCGTGCCTCGTGTTGGGGCTCAGCCTCGCGCTGTCCACCATCTGCGTCGGACCTGGTGGTCGCGACGGTGTACTACGATCAGTGCCTGTTCCGGTTCTGCGACCGCGACTTCCTCTCTAGCTACGACAACTCCGCAGACCTGGTGGTCACGTGGAACATGAACAGCGTGAGCGGAAGGAACGTCGACGCATTCGTTAGACTGCTCGAGCGGCTCGTAAACACGGTGGCCGTCGTGGCCAGCAATGCTCATATGACACGGCATCCAGATCGAACGGTTATTAATGAGGGAAAGTAAGATCTTAGACAATGAAAGGTTAATATGACATGGCATAAAGATCGAACGGTTACGAAAGAGATATAGCCCCCCACAAAATACCCGTCCTTTTATATTATGACGATGACGACGATGATATAGAAGAGAAGAAAGGCCCGGAACGCTCCGGAGGAAAGGGTGACCGATGGGCCCAGACGGAGAAGCTAAGGGATCAATCAGAATGCCGGCCCAATCGACTGTACCCCAGCCTATATACTGGATCGATAGCTGAAGCCCAAGTAGCTTGCGTGTGTGAAGAGTCACTGTCACGTGGTGCGTATATGTTCGACGACCGGCGGCCGGCGGCCAAGGTTGGCTTCAGAAACTACGTATTCGTACCCCACCTACTACCGCTGGGTACTCTTCTTCCTCCTTTTTCTCGTGGGTTGGCGGCAGCGCAGGCTACTCGTCGTCGCCTATAGCATTTTCATTTTTTTTAAAAAAAAGGGCAAGTATGTAGGCGATAAGTCTGTCGGAAAAAATAGGCCTAGGTGGACAAGGCCAGACAGATGTGGCACACACCTCCTATCAGTTCTGAAAGCCGACAGTTACTGCCCTATCAACAACCAGGTAGACAATGATCGGCTTCTATTCTTGTATTTTTTTCCCATTAAATAGCACTTTTTCTGAAATTTTCTATTAAATTAATCCCTCCATTTCAAATTATAAGCCATCTTAACTTTTCTAGGTGCATAGTTTTTACTACATACATAGATATACATTGTCTAGCTAAAAGTTGTATGTATTAAAAAAAATAAAATTACTCACTAGTAAGTACATTTAGAACAGAGTAAATAATATTTATTTATTTTGATAAAAAGTCACCGCTTTGTATCTATTGTCCCTGCATGACTTGTCGCAACCTGCTGCACGCACTACGCTAAATTCTTACTATAGGAACGGGGCATTTTTACTGTAGGGGCGGCTGGGGTTGAGGGCGCCTCTACAGTGGGCGTCCTCGGGCCCCAGCAGCTCAGCCGCCCCTACAGATGTCACTGTAGGGGCGGCGGGTAACCTGAGCCGCCCCTACAGTTGGGGTTGATCTGTAGGGGCGGCTCAATCACCAGCCGCCCCTGCAGTGCCCATTTGTCTTTTTTCAAATTTTAAAATTTGAAAGGTTCAAATTTAGTCAAATGACAAGATAACAAAAATAAAAGTTGTAGATATTGATGAGTTGAACAACTTTTGTATTCATCACTTTAACATCTGAAATCATTTAGGGTTTCAAAATTTGGTTTGAACTTGTCAAATTTTAAATTTCAAAATTTAAAATGTGTAAAATATTGTCACATCCAAGTTTGATCAAACTTAAATGTTGAAGCATGATTTTAGAAATTTTTAGAAAAAAACACCATCACATTTGGAGTTAGTATGAGGAAGAACAACTAGTTACAAAGTTTACCCACAGATTAAAAAGAGAAATCACACTGTTCTAGATGATCCTTACATGATCGTAGTGAACAGTGTGATTTCTTTTTTTAATCTGTGGGTCAACTTTATAACTAGTTTTTCTTCATCATACTAACTCCAAATCTGATGATTTTTTTTCCTAAAATTTTCTAAAATCATTCTCTATCAATTTATTTTGTTGGTTTTGTCAATATATACATATGAAAAGTTTGAGCAATTTAAATTTTGAATTTCAAAAAAATGCAACTTCAGACAAGATTTTGGTATCCCAAATGATTTCAGCTGAAAAAGTGATAAATACTAAAGTTGAATAACTCATCAAGATCTATAACTTTTATATTGGTCAATTCTTCATATGACAAAGTGGTAATGGCATTGTTCACAGATGTGACAAATCTCTCATAAGGTTTTATAAACTATATGAGACATGTGTAAGATTAGTGAACAATGTGTGCTAAGAGTTTGTCAAATGAAGAAATGACCAAAATAAAAGTTGTAGATATTCATGAGTTGAACAACTTTGGTATTCATCACTTTTTATGTTGAAATCAATTTGGGTCTCAAATTTTGGTTCCAACTTGTCGTTTTTTAAAATTTCAAATTTGAAAGGTTCAAATTTTATCAAATAATAAGATGACTAAAATAAAAGTTGTAGATATTAATGAGTTGAACAACTTTGGTATTCATCACTTTTTATGTTGAAATCATTTTGGGTCTCAAATCTTGGTTCGAACTTGTCGTTTTTTAAAATTTCAAATTTGAAAGGTTCAAATTTTGTCAAATGATAAGATGACCAAAATAAAAGTTGTAGATCTTTATGAGTTGAACAACTTTTGTATTCATCACTTTTACATCTGAAATCATTTAGGGTTTCAAATTTTTGTTCGAACTTGTCATTTTTTAAAATTTTAAATATTTTAAAATTTTGGTTCGCCCTCTCCATGGTACAAATATTTCTATCTCTTCCTACAGCCCACGCATACACCTTTCAGCCAACCCGCACCTTCTAGGCACGAACACACGCATCTTATCCGCACGGACGTACCTTCCCCGCGCTGCTCGTCCTCCGTCGAGCCGATTCCCTCGCGCCGCCCGACTGTCCGGTCTCACGCCGCCCGGCCTTGCGCCCCCCGGCCTCCTGGACTTGCGGAGGCGCCCTCCATGCGGGTCGTGCAGCACTCTCGGATGCATATTTTCCCCTGAATCGGCGAAGGGCGAACCCTAGCGCGGCGACAGCGCGGGCGGCGGCGGGTGGGGCGCAGCAGCCACCATGACCCCCATCTCCGCCGTGGAATCCATCCCCGCCAATCAACTCCTACGTCTCGTGGCCAAGGTTCCCCCACTCTCCCCTTCCTCCTGCCTAGGATTTGTTCTACACGGGCCTAAACCCTCACTGTTGGTTCGCAGGGCCTCACGGCGGAGCGCTTGGAGGAGGAGCCGCGCTTCTCGCATTCGACTCCGCCGGGTTCGGTGGGTTGGTGCAGCAGCTCGGCTCCAGTGCCGTGGATTTCAGGTAAACCCCAACCTTGCGCGCCCGTGGCGTTGCCTAGTGGCAGTGTTTTATTCTGGTGCTGAACCGTGATTGGTGAGGAGTGTTGACGCTTGCGGTGTTTGTCTTTGTGCGCATTATGCGAGATGTCAAGGGCTCATCCAAGAGCTTCCCCAAGCACGAGGTGAAGCATGTCTCTGACCATAAGGTGCGTATGGTTCCAATTTTCCTTGCTAATTTACTACTTGAAATAGCTTTTGTGTCGATCTCCACTTATCTGGATATTTACTACTATTCTTGCACATTTTGCACTTGTCACAGTACCATGATTATGTATATAACTTGAGATTGACCCATCCATATATTTTACTGATGTTCATTGGCTTATTATCAAGTTACCATTGTACTTTTTTCCGTAGAGCGCTGCCCGGTCTTGTGAAATTTAGTCCTGATGGAAAGTATTTTGCAACTGGGAGTGCTGATACATCCATTAAGTTTTTTGAGGTAAAATTGTCAAGTGCTAAGTGGGCTTGTGCTGTTTTGTACTTAGTTGCAACTTGCAACTCACTATTGCTCTCTCTCAGGTTGCTAAAATTAAGCAGACTATGGTAGGGGACTCCAAAGATGGTCCTGCCAGGCCTGTGATTCGCACATTTTATGATCACACACAGGTGGGCATGTATTGTTCATATATGCTAGTTTATTTACTGTTTAAGGTCATGAGACTCTTTTCAACACTTCCACAAGATTGCTCCTGAGTTAGGTCTCCTGTAGTATTTTTTTCCTTGAATATGCGGAGAGCTGCATATCATTGCATTATCTAAAGACTGAAATGCATGGGTAGATCAAATCCACCTGCCACCACACTTATATACACATGCTCAACTCACATTTAGCACACTGGATGCACACCTAGCACATGCAGTTTATAGTTATATATTTGCTTACTGAGCTGTTTGGAGCATTGACATGGTATTCAATTTTTTAGTAAACAACTCCATTTTTCACTAGTTGCTTATTTTATTTTCCATCGCTCGAATTTCCACTATGCTCATAAATATGATTGATTTCTTGCAGGCCATCAATGGTCTGGATTTTCATCCTGAGAGTCCAATACTGATATCAGCTGCAAAAGACAATACAATAAAGTATGCTTATCCTTAATGTCTACACTCCTTTCTGTTAAATTGTCTATTTGAAATGCTCATACTGGGATTAAGCATGATTCTTATTTTTTAGGATTTTTTTGTGGTATTAATTGCTATCTGTGTTATTGTTTTGTACATGAAAAAATTGCTCAACAGATTCTTTGATTTCTCAAAAACCAATGCGAGGAAAGCGTTCAGAGTTATTCAGGTTGTAAATTCTAGCAACCTAATCTATGTATATATCATGTAAAATGGCGTGTTCATTGCATTTAACCAGGCTCAATTGTTAATGCTTGGCAGGATACTCATAATGTTAGATCTGTATGTTTTCATCCTTGTGGGGATTACCTTTTAGCAGGTACTATGATCTTTTCACTTAATTTAAATTTAATTTCTACTTCTGTTGTTATTAACTGATTCGTGATTTCTGACATCATTTTGTTTTGCTCTGATTTTTATGCATTATAAGTTTTTAACATGCTTTCAGTTGTTATCTGTAAAGTAATTTAATTATTTCACCAAAACAATTTGATATCCAGGCCCATGAATTTGGATTTCGTTCCTGGATCAACAGTTCCTATCTCTTGGGCATTTGAAAAATACTGCAAGCATATCTTATGGAATTTTCTTCTTTCTTATAGTCAAATATTTTCATCCACATACGTATTTTAAAAAAAATAACTCATTTTTCATATATTGATGAATATCGTGGAAGCAAGTGACACTGATAAAGTTATTTGCAGGGACTGATCACCCAGTTGCTCATTTATATGATATAAATACTTTTACATGCTACTTATCAGCAAATGCACAGGATTCTAGTTCTCCCATTAACCAGGTAGCTTTTCTCTTTCCTTCTGATTCACAAGCATTATATTGCATTGGTTATATTCTCATCAAAGATTAATTTTACTCCGCTAGCCGTGCTTACTGATGTCGCTGCCAGGTACGCTACTCTTGTACTGGGAGCTTGTATGTTACTGCTTCTAAAGATGGTTCTTTGCACATTTGGGATGGAGTTTCTGCTGAATGTGTTCGACCTATTACTGGAGCACATGGATCCGCAGAAGCTACCAGCGCAATTTTCACCAAAGATGAGAGGTAAGCGAGCTACCAGTCTGTCTAAGGTGCTCTTCCCTCAAGATAAGATCCAGTTATTGTTTGGTTTGAAGAACAGAGAGGCAGGCATATGCTGTATGTTTGATTCAAAACAGTAACTACCTCAAACCCTGTTTGGAATGTGAGAATCTTGTAGTAATTCTGAATGATTTGTAGCATGTCCTGGTGAATTTCCTGTGTTTTAGACAGGTCTTAACTTTATCACATGAATAGCAACTAACAGCTCTTTCTCCTTTGCCCTAATGTTTCACCACTAAACAACTAACCTGCCTATAAGCACTTTTGAGACTTCTTCTGAAAGGCCTAGTGTTTATTCTAGTTGTATTTACTTGCTGTGATTTTGTGAAACCGGTGTCAAAATGTTTAGTGTGAATTGGTGTACTTCCTGGAAATGCTTAAATATATGTCAGAGTTGAGAAAAGATTGTTGTTACTTGATTTGAATTATATATATATATATATATATATATGTGGTCAGATTTAAATTTGAATTATTTATTTTTTTTGCTGGAAAATCTACTGTAGGGGCGGTTGGTGATACAGCCGCCCTTACAGAAGTCCACTATAGGGGCGGCTGATATTACCAGCCGCCCTTACAGAAGTCCACTATAGGGGCGACTGATATTACCAGCCGCCCCTACAGAGGTCATTGTAGGGGCGGCTGAAAACATCAGCCGTCCCTACAGAGGGTACTGCAGGGGCGGTCAGAAAACCGCCCCTACAGAGACACCCTCTGTAGGAACACCCTGGGAAGGGCGGCTGGCGCAGCCGCCCCTACAGAGACTCTAGAGCCGTCCCTACAGTTAAATTCTGTAGTAGTGACGGTTCAAACGGGGGGCTGGTGTTTAATCGATCTCACGTGATGCACACCTCCGCATTGACAAACCGTACCGCGCCTGTGCCAGCTGTCGTCGTTGGGCAGCATCCACGTGGCTGCCGTTAGGTACTTGGTCATCACCGTTTCATTTGTCAGCGAATTGGCGGGAGGAAGAATGAGCTCGCCTTGTCAATGCTAATCAGGCGGAGCGACAGACACGACTGCATCGTACAATGTACTTACTCAAATATTTACTACAAACGAGACAAACAAAGAGAGAAAAAAAAAATGGCATGGTCACATGCATATGCATATATATAATATAAGGTGTCATACGCACCTGTTGTGGATTCATCCCGGATGTGCATGTGTATGTGCATGTGCAATCGTCTATTCAGGAGGAGTTGAAAAAAGAGGGTAGCTCTCTCGTACGTTGAGTGATTGCGCATAGAAACATACATATCATGAATTCGCAACTGCTGCCTACGGCTGAAACCCGAGGACATTTTCTGCTCATTTTTTAAACAAATATCCAATATTGTGACACTCCGTGCATTCTTTTTCATATATCATATTAACTTTGTCCTAAGTCAGACGTCTACACCTTCGACCATCAATTTTAAGAAAATCCGTATAGTTTCACAATATGTAAATTATATATTACGAAAGTATTTGTCATACTAAATCTAAAAACATAAATCTTATGTTGTTAATAGGTACCACTTTTTTAGAAAAATATTGATGGTCAAAGTTAAATAAGTTTGATTTGGGACAAAACTAATACGACATGTATAAAAGGATGAGAGAGTACTACATAAAGTAACACATTACATGAACAAAATTTCTAACACCTAACTAACAAAATTTTAAGTTTAGGGGCGTCGGACCCCGGCACCCGGCTCGCCGCACCCGAGCCCCCGTCGCTCGGGCCGTACCCCATGACTCTGTAAAACTTACATCTGAAACTTGAAATACTTGGATGCAACATACGTCTGAAATAGATGAAGCATTTAAAACATACACTTGAAACATGTGTGAAACATATGCAACATCCAGATAAAACATTTGCATCTTACAAACGAAAACACTTACTGCAACATAAGACTGAAACATCTGAAATCATTGGAACAAACTCTTGCAACATGTTTGAAACGTATGAACATCCAAATAAAAAACGCTTGCAAACATACGTCTGAAAAAACGGATAAAATATTTTGAACAAACGCTTGCAATATGCCTCCGAAACACTTGCAACATCTAAATCTACTTTTGCAACATCCACATGAAATATTTGCAACATACCTCTAAAACAACTGAAACATACATGCAACATGTCAAGATGTGGCAATCTAGTGGGCGGCAACCACCATGTCTGGCGTGCTGAGGAACTCGATAACTGCCACGATGGGCAGATCGGGGTTGGGAGGCGGCATAGGGAAGAGCACCACGGACATGGCCCCTGTGAGCTTCTTCCGTTACTGGGGCACGAGGAGCCTCGAGGCCGGCGCAAAGTACGCACAGCCGCGACGCCCTCGCTGTCTCTAGCCGCAGGAGGAGGTGATGAGGAGGATGCCAGCGTCGGCGCCGGCGAAGAGGTCGGGTACGGACGGGAGGCGAGCGTGCGAGACGGAGTGGGAGATATTTTTTTATTTGGAAAGACGGTGCCTGGACGGACGGACGGACACAGGATGTCCTCACCCTATCATTATCAATGAATAAAACTACTACACAAAACTTAACTGAGGCGGGCGTTTTTGATTTACCGAGGCGGGCATCACAAATGCCTCGGACAAAAGGTCACGGTAAATAGGATCTTTTCCAAGGCGCTTCGATGCCCGCCTCGATAAATCGAATAAAAAAAGAGAAACCCCGTGGATAAGCCCGGCGAGCCCATCCACGCCCCGCCGCCGCCGCCGCTGCTCGCCGATGCCTGCATCTGGCCGGCGGATCCGCCGTGGATGACGCCACTAGATCCGCTCCCCTCCTCTCCTTCCCACCGGATCCCAGCCACACCATTCCTCTCCTTCCCACCGGATGCGCCACCGGCGGGCTTCTCCCCACCGGATCCACCGCCAGAGGGGTCCTCCCCACTGGATCCGCCGCGCAGAGGGATCCTCCACACTGGATCCGCCGCCGGAGGGGTCCTCCCCGCCGAATCTGCGCCGTGTTGGAGTCATGGAGGGAGGGGAGGAGGGGTGCGGCTAGGAGAGATCCCCGCCATGGTGGCGCCGTGGTGGATCCCCGGCGTGGTGGCGCTGTGGTGGATCCTCGCCGAACGCGCCGCCTGGGCGCTCGAGCGCCGCGGCGAGGGCACCAAGCTCGAGCTCGCCATGAGCCTCCACCACTACTGGAATCTCACTTTTTTCTGTGTGTGCGAAAACACACAGAAAAATGCGAATACCGTCAGAAAAATGGTGTACCCTCAGAAAAATACCCACAGAAATATAACGACAGAAAAATAAAATTTTTCTGTGAGTTCACCGTCAGAAACAATTTTTCTGTGGGTCGTACACGCACAGAAAAATTGTTTTTGCCCAGATTAAAACTAATTTTTCTGTGTGTTAATCCACACAGAAAAAAGAAATAAATGCACAGAAAAACACGTTTTTTCTGTCGGTATAGGTGAACTCATAGAAAAATTCATTTCGCCTAGATTAAAAAGAATATTTCTGTGTAGCCAGCCTCACAGAAAAAAGAGTTAAACACACAAAAAAAATTATTTTAAAACAGTAGCAACAACATATTAAAATATATATTTTCCATACAGTAATTTCTGTGCATGACAACAAGGTTTCATTCAAATAATACACAAATACAATACTCGAAGGGACCTTGATGGGTGACCACACAACCAATCAAGTATCAAGAGTACCAAAACAAGTGTCATGCCCGATGTGGCTGGGCGACAAGCAAACTTCAAATGACCGACATCAAAGTTCTAAACCATCACGAGAGGACGGCTAGGACACCATGATGAGCTTCACTACTGTGGCGGCGGTAGCTGCTCCTGCTGCTGCTGCGAGGAGTGTGGCGACGGAAAGGTGGCAGTGGTAGGCATGGTCAGCGACACTCCTGCAGCGACAAAGAAGCAAGTGTTAGGACTAAGTTCTCTAGGTTAGGACTAGGTAACTCATAAAATCCAGGAAGGCGAAGAAAAACCTAAGTCAATACCGATCGAAGCTGAGCCTAATGTAGTGTATCCCTGAGAGTATGATGCTGGATAGGACGCCGGAGCTACACCTGCAAGAAAGGCGAGGTTTGAGTCAGAAAAGCGTAATAAGGAAATTTAAGGAGTGAAACGCGCAAGGGACACAACTTGAGCAATAAATAACAAAGGAATACCTAGAGTCGCTGGCTATAGGAATAAGCGGAGGAGACACCAGTCCTGCTCATTTAGAAGAATATGATAGCATTAATGAACAGGAACATGTATTAGGGGAGATTTTTTGTCTTGAAAAGAGACATATCAAGTCTACTATACCAAGCCTGGAGGACAACAATTGATGCCTGCTTACCTGTACTTGACCTCATTGACACACGAAGGTCTATTCCATATGGCATTCAGCAAGTGAGGGAACTTATTGGCATCTCATGTGCCTTCAAGCAAGTGTTGTATAATACTTAAGTTGGAGAGCAAAATATTCAGAAAGGCAGCTCATGGGAAAATGGCACAACAATGAACTCAAGTTGGGAAGTGCTTAGGTTGTCATTTCTCAAAGACAGTAGTTTGGAAAGAATGGCACAACAATGAACTTTAGTTCAATATGGTGTATAATATTTAATTGTTGCAATACTGTCATTTCTCAAAGACAGTAGTTTGGAAAGAATGGCACAACAATGACCTTGAGCTTGTGTTGCAATACTGTCATTTCTCAAAGCAAGTGTTGTATAATATTTAATTGTTCAATTAGAGACATATAAGTTATCCGGCTATGTACTTTAGTTGAAAAGAATGGCACAACAATGAACTCAAGTTGGCTAAAACCGACGGCGCATGACAATTCCACTGATTGGGGAGTTCATCATTTCCTAAGTTACAGAAATTATTTCACACAACCACATAACAGCAGTGACATGCTTAAGCAAGTTGCATCATAATAAGAGCACTTAGTTGCAGCCTAAATTAGCATATCTAATTTTTCTCAAAGACACAGTAGCCGGGGCTCAAAAACTAAAGATCTTATATGATATAGTGTAGGACAAGGTTAACTGACAGTAGCCGGGGCTCAAGTTGCATACATACTTATCCCATGGACAAGGTTAACTGACAGACCCAAGTCCCCGATACCCTACTGTATTGCAACAAATTCTAAAAATAAACTGCACAGTTTAATAAGAGCCAAACCTGATCCAATCTAAAGAAACATTCAAGTCCTAACTCTTAGCATCAATCGCAGCACAAAAACAGAGCTCGTATCAGCACATCTACCATACACTAAGAAAAACACTAAAGACAGCTATGATACAAATCAGAGAGCATCCTATTGAAGTCAAATGTTGAGAGAATCACACTTTAAGGTGCTACGTCAATTAGCGATTTCACAAAAATAAGCTCATATTTATCAAGTGCAAGCAGTCGGTTCTTACTACTGATTTTACAGTTGGGGTCATCAAAAGTTGAGAAATCAAGTGCCAATCTCAGACTCTGAAAAGGTTGGAACAATGTCAGGCCAATGCACTAATATAAAGCAAGAACTAATAAGTAATAACATATAAAGCAAGATACAGATCATGGTATGTATAAACACTAGGAGCATGCTTTCCTTGATTCATGTAATAAAGAAACCAAATGACTCTGAAAAGTTTATTAATTGGACAATTATAAACACTAGGAGCATGCTTTCCTCGATTCATGTAATAAAGAAACCAAATGACTGTGCCAATCTGTCGGCACACTAGTGATCAGAGAATGAAATCAAACCATTTGTAAGTTGTAACCTACCTCTAGCTGAGAACATCCATTGAGCAATTCCTGTAGATCAGAGAAATTTACCACCAGTCCCCTACGTGCACCAAGAGAGTTGAGAGAAAGCAACAAATAGAACCAGTCCCCTACGTGCACCAAGAGGTGATCAAATGATGTAGTATTCAACACATTGGCCTCAGATATTAGTTGCTCCTCGGTTGACCTTGAGCTTGGAGCATAAGAAACAAACAGAGTAAGAAACAAAGTTCTAGTACCTCAACACAAGCTCAAGGTCATCAGTTCTTGGCATGCTTAATATGATATCATCATTGGCAAAGTAAGTGAGGCCTTAGCTTAACGATATGTTGGTACAATTTCCAGATACTCAATCATAGGTGGCTGCCAAGGCAAAAAAAAAAAAAAAACAGATAGAAGAAAACTAAGATCATGTCCCATGGTTTGATGACAGTCATGAGAATCATACAGAATGCACAAAAAACAAATTGCAGCCACCTCAGAATTTATTTTTCATGTTGCATCATTGGCCAAATAGATATCAAGAGTTTGAACATCACAGTCATATCAAGAGATTGAACATCAGTGTCATAAATTCTAGATGCTTCAGCACAAAGAACCCTCACTAGAATCAGAGCTATGGACTTAAGCAAGACGCGGCTGCCACACCATAGGGTGCTCCTCCAGCGCCTAGGGTTAAGTAAACATCATCGACCAAGGCACTTTGCTCAGTTTGTAAATCGGACTAGGCATCATCATGTGCAAAATCTAGGCGACAACACATGTGTACAACAAATAAGAGGTGCACATCACACGATCTGAGGCGGAACAAGACGAAAAGCAAATGTAAACATGTAGATCAACAAAAAAATGTCGCCCGAGATCTAAGTATCTAAGAACATGAACCCTAATATCAGTGGATGACAAACAAAATCCACAAACGATTCAACAGAAATCACCGCACAGAGAGGGGTAGGAGATGGGGGCAGGTGAGATATACTGTCGGAGCACTAGAGGACCAACACAAATCCGCCGGTGGAGGTTGACCGTATAGGTCAAGCGAGCTCGATGGGGAGGAAGAGGAGAGAGCGCACCAAACCAGAGGAGGAAGGAGAGGCGCGAAATGGGGGCGGTAACCCTAGCCCAGGCCCCAGGACGACAAGATCTCCCGCACCAAACCAGAGAGGAGGCGGGCACCGGCCAGCGCGGATCTCGCCCCGGTGGGGAGCGGGAGGGAGGGGCAGCACTGGGAACGCCCGGCCGCACCGGATCTCGGGAAGAAGGTAGGGGAGGGGGGGAGAGGGAGGGGGTGGCACCGGCCGCCGGATCTCGCCGGTGGGGAACGCCGGCCGCGCCGGATCTCGGGAAGAAGGTACCGCGCCGAGGAAGAAGTGGAGGGAGGGAGGGCGGGATCCGGCGGAGGATGGGCGGAGTCTTGGTCAAAGTGCAAGGGAGGAGGGAGGTGTGGGGGGCTGGGGAGGGAGGGGAGCGTGCGTGCGTGAGGAGCCGAGCGGGCGAGTCCGCGCCGGGTTAGGGTTAGGACTTCTTCGTTTTTTTTCGTGCGTGTGTATCTTTTTTCCCTGTGCGTTTTAAAATAACCGACAGAATAAGTTTTATTTTTCTGTGGGTGCTGATTTTTTCCGTATGTATATTATCATGCACAGAAAAATCATACAATTATTCTGTGGGTTTTCGTATTTTTCTGTCGGGATATTTTGAAACATAATTTTTCTGTGCGTACCAAAAAAACGCACAGAAAAATTCGTCGCCCACAGAACAATTCGAGTTTCCAGTAGTGCACGTTGCCACCACTATCCACTGCGGCCTCGGCCGCTACTAGAGGGGAGAGGAGGCGTGCCGGAGAGGGAGATGAGCTGAGGGAGAGGGGTGCTCGGTGTGAGGAGAGGGAGTGGGCGCTCGGGCTCGGTGTGCTCTGCGCGGCTGAGGGAGAGGGAGGAGAGGATGAGTGAATGAAACCTTAAGTCACGTATATATACTCAGAGCGATTTATCGGGCCGAGATGGGCTTTTCTAATTCAAAGTGGGCTTGGCAACATTAACGGAGGCGGGCTCCTTAAGAGGCCTGCCTTCGAAAATGGCCATATTTTCCCAGACGGGCCTCTTATAAGTGACCGCTTCGGTTAATCTATTTTGCGAGGCTGTGGATTATGACCGTCTCGATTAATAAAAATGACCGCCTCGGTTAATCCCAGGCATTAACCGAGATGGTTGAAATGTCGGCCCGCCTCCGATGCCATTTTCAAAACGCCTCGCATAATTTTTTCTGTAGTAGAGTAGTATCCATTTTACTTCTTCATCAGGAAAAAGATCTGAAATATAGTTGGGAGTGGGACATCCTGTCAGCATCCCTGCTCCGACTACACCGAGCCACATCAGTAACGGGAACGACGACGCCCGAGCACAAGTGCGCGACGTCGCCCAAGCTGGAACACACGAGCCGGGTCCAAGGCATGGCACGCGGGAACGGAGGCCCAGCTCCAGAATCCAAGGCCCAGAATGGGCGTGACCCAGCCCAGCTGGAGTAGTGTCGTGAGCAAGTAGCATAAGTATCCGTAGAGAGGGAAGGAGAGGATCATCAAACAAACAAAACTCTTGTAATATTGTTATAAGCACTCCTCTGTTCTAAGAGATTCATCTGAACTACCCAATTGTTGTGCTATCCTATCCTTATTCTCATCTGATCTGTATGCTTACACAGCCATGTCGGAAATATCCTTTGATTGGCACGGCTAAAGGCGTGCCTCTCCTGCTGCTGCCAGGGAATAATAGCAGCAGGTCTTGAAGTCGTCCACGGTGTGGCTGAAGAGAGACACATAGGCGTCGATGCTGCCGTCGTTGCAGAACGACGGGACGACGACCACCAAGCCCTCCACCGGGACGTAACTAGGCATGAAGAAGAAGAGCTTGCCACCGCCGGTGCCGAAGTCGACCTCGTGGAACGGCGACCTGAGCACGCTGTAAACCGCGATGTGTGGGCTCTTCGCCGTCTCCGAAGGATCAGCCGTCGGCACGAGCTGCTCGTTCTCCACCGCGCCGGAGCTCGCGAAGTCGATGAACGACCTGAAGTAGCCGTCGTCGATCCGGGAAACCTCCTGGCGTATGAGCTCGGCGACTTGACGCAGCAGCATGGCCACCAGATCCCCTGCCGTGGCAGTCGGCCGCGACCAGAGCACGGCGTTGCCGGTGTACGCGTGCGGCACCCGCGGACGGCGCATGCGCGCGCGCCCGTTCACGGCGATGTGCAACTCGGTGGCCGTGCTGTCTGTGCCGATCCGGCGCGCCTTGGTGATGCACTGCCATAGGTGCGCCACCAAACACTGAAGCGTGGTGTACGGCCGGGATGTGCCGCCGGCTGAGGCCCGTGATCTGAGCTCCGAGATCATCTCGCGGCTGACCACCGGTGCTGGTGTTGCCTGTACCCTTCTTCGTCTCGCCACGAGGCTTGAACTCGGCGCCACGGTGCTCGAAGCCTCGAACTCGACCCGAGGCGGGTCGCGGGGGACGAAGAAGGACACACGGTCGTGCACCGGGACAGGGTCGACGGCGGCGCCACGCGTGGCCTGGCCCCAAGCGACGACGAAGCTGCGCACAGCAGGGCCGTCGCCACCAGGTGGTGCGCGGTGATGCTGACGGCGAACGAACCGCACGCGAACCGCGTGAACTGGAGGAGCATCAGCTCGTCAGCGACATCGCCGTCGCCGTTCGGGTGCAGGCTCGTGGTCTCCGGTGTTGGCTCCCACGGCATGACGCTGTCCAGCGCGACGTCGGCCGCCGCCTCGACAAACCGCACGCCCGCGTCGTTGAGGAGTATGCCCCGGTTGCCGCTGGTGGCGTCCACGCCGAGACGGCCGGCGGCCCACTCGCGGTACTCGGCGAGAGCCTTGGCCAGCCCTGCCTCCAAGGCAGAGCTGGGCGGCGCCGGCGGCCGGAAGAAGTATACGCGGGAGATGTAGACGTCGACGGTTACCTTGTCAAAGACGGTGAGTGGGACGAAGTCGGCTGTGGCGAACGAAGCGACGCTGCTGCGTCTGCCACAGTAGCTGTCATAGACAGGCTTGACGGACTTGGATGACTACACCGTGATTTTCATGGCGAGAAAAGCCGATAGTGTAGGTTGTTACAGGGTTTGGGATTGAGGAACTTGCTAATCAACTAACTAGAGAAAGTGGAAGAGCAACTAATCCATTTGTGTGCTAGTGCTGCAAAAAGTGAACACACACACACACACACATATATGAACAATATATTCAGTAGCTAGCTATAGAATAAGTTATTTTGTAGCCACCTCCATTTACGATATTTTTTATACTTAATTTACGATAAAACGAATACATATTTACGATAATTATGTTACTATAACATATGGGGATATTTACCGTAACATTATAGTAAATCACTTAGTAAGGAGTTACTATAATTATGTAAATTAGCATAATAATTATCGTAACTCAAATTGGCTACAGAATAAGTTATTCTAAAAGTAAGTATATACCTTTTGGTCATTAGGGTTGGTGACTTGGAGTACCATATGGATGGCGGCTGGCCTATAGTGTGGACACAACGTAAATAAACAGAAGCGTGGAACACCGAACACCTGATGTATATGTTATATGGACTCTATCCTAAAAGGAAAGGAGAAGGAGAAATCCTAATCCTAGTCTGTTTGTGTGGACTCTTACCAAAACTCTTAGATCTTAGCAGGGCTATATATACGTGTGAGCTTTATATTGTAATCACAAATATTCAGAGGAATAAACAATAGTCTCCCTATCTTGTGTCTATTTGTTCTCTACTTTCATCTACTGGGTTGATCATGAGAGACGAAAAGGAGAAGGTCATAACCAAAGGCAACATGTTTTATAACACGTTATCAGCACGACAAGTTCTTTGTCGACATCGCCGTTGAAGCTGTCGCATATCTTCGATGTCGACGCTTGTACCGTCGACGTCCGGCCGTGACTACTTCGACGGTGTCGACATCCCGGCGTTGTTAGCAGAACGGATCTGCTACCACTACCTACAACTAATCTGCACTGCATCGACATGCATCGTCGTCATCAAGTGGGCAGATCTAAGACAATGCCAAACGCCCTACGTGGTATGTATCTACTAGCCACTGCCCTACGCGGCACGTGAGGTAGATTAAATTGGCATCCTCTGTAAGGTATGAAAACATCGCATCTCGAAGATCGCATTTATCCCAGCCATTCATCAAGTTAAGCAATGGTTCCTGTTCTAATATTGTATAGGAAGTACATATATGCTCGTACATGCTGTACATATAGACATGGATAGTCTATGCTTTACGGATTGCATCTAGGTTATTTCTTTAAAAAAAGGCAAAACAGGAGTGCGTATGGATTTGTCTTATGGCTGAATGTTGCGTTGCACTCCTGCACAAGTGCAAGTGCATGAGACCATATCTAACACACTTTGCGGCCCGCATGCTGCATCGCCAAGGTTGTCGTGCCGAATCACGACTACGATCGCGTGTCACCATTGGCTCGCATGCCAACGCACTCACCCGGGCTTTTGCCAGTGCGCTGCTAGTAGGTCTAGGCGTTCAGCCGGGACTCGCGCAGTCGAACAGAACAATCTCTAGCAGCAACGCACATAAAAAAGGGAAATTTTCTTGTGTGTTTATTGTCATGAAGAGCACGTGAGCTTCCTTTTCTAGTTTTGTCTGACACAAGCACGGCACACAAGGCTTAGCCGTACACAGTAAAATTACGGAGCCATAATCCCACTTGAATACAGCCTGAACGCCGACACGCAACCATGGCCATCTCCGGCCAGCAGCATGCATGCTTTCTTGTCATCTACAGTCTGCAGGCTTCGCAACCCAAATTATGAATTGAAGACTCCGTGAACCAAAGTTGCTCTCACCCACAGCTTGCATGCCACTATTACTTCAGTGTTCGTCGCATTAAAATCCGACATATCAGAAACAAAACAGAAAATAAGAAAGGGCTCTTTAAATCTGAAATTTATATATAAGCCCATGATTCTAGCAGAATCAAACTATATGTACTAAATATATTCTAGCAGAATAGTTCATATACTTTTTGGCTTTAGGGTGTTTATGAATTGAAAACCCCAATTTTTAGTTTTTATAACTATTTGTCTAAATAATTAACCTAGATCCTCTATTGATGCATGTTTACTGTACCCTCTTATATTTTGAATTGAATATATAAGAGGTTGTATACAACATTAAAATCTGCAGTTTAATTGTTGTTTTGCCAAGTTTTATTTTTTTTGAATTGATAGTAGATTAATTCTGAAAATATTTCTATGCTTTGAATTTAATAATTCTAAAAAATGCTAGTGCAACCTCATCATGTATACCATGTATTTGCAAGAGTAAAATTTTTGAATGATTACACTAGAAACATGGTATAAGGTATATGGGTTCTCTAAATCCTAAAGACCTTAGACTTATCATCTTTGAGAGGCTCATATTTATTTTTTCCTAACATAATGAATTTTTGGGATGACTGAATGGTTGGTATTAATTCTGAAAATTAGCATGTACCATAATTAGACCCTGATAATGCTAGGATGCTTCTAAGAATATTTTGAATAGCCGTCCACTACCTTTTTGCACGTTGCTAGTTCTTTACATGTAGTAAACTTACATACACATGGTCCAAGTTATGTTAATATGCACCCCTTAAAAGAAGAAGAAATATCCTGGAATTACTCTGAACAGAAGAATTATTTGTTGCGGTCGTTATTAAATCCATGTAGGATATTTGCTACCATTGAAGTGTAGTGAACTCAGGATATACATTTCCTAATTACTCTCTAGAATGAGTATACGTCCGAGAGAAATAACAAATGTATTGCGGGACTCAAGAAAAACCCCAAATTATAATTAGAGAACATCATATTACATTGAAAGTCAAATTTTCAAGCTCGCATGCCTATAGATTGAGGTATAATGCTGCTCAATAAACAATAGCTCGAAGCTTTGTATTAAGACAAGATGGTAAATAAGATTTCATCAATGTATATTCTCCGAGAAATGTTTTATGTGTATAGAATATCAAAGAGCAATGTAATACATGAAGTATTTGAATTTACCATTAGAAATTATTCAAATAGAAAATTGAGTTGGAATTTTTAGACAGCTTCATAAACCAGGATATTGTCGGTTGCAATAACTTTGAAGATGTGGCTTGCATATGTTACACCCCTTGAAGGCTTGTGACTGTATATTATAACTATTGAATAAAGCCTGAAGCTACCATCTGTCATGTATAGAAGTTAAGACATGCGAGAACGGATATTATTTAGAATATTTAACTGTTTTCTTGAAGAAAACTTAAATCATATGCTTATAGATTTGTTGCTTTTGAAATTCATATCCTGAAGTATTGATAGTAGTGGTGGTGGTGCTTTAAGTTTTAAATTCCCGTTGAATTAAGTGGATTATGTAAACTCGTAGAAGAGTTAATGGTTACTTTATTAGCTTAAAGACTAATATAAAGTTCTTAGTTGCAATTTTTACTTACGGTAATATATGTTAATCTTGCATGTAATGAATTAGATTTATATGTTTTACATATAAACAATTGCCTATCTAAACAAATTTTGCATTAATTTTATCCACAAAGAAGCCTCAATTAACAATGAAGGTTATAGTTCTATGTGCACTACTACCATGTAGGTAGAAAGGAAACTGAATTTCTAGAAGAACATGAACAATTGGACTATACTTGCATATTAACTAATCTTAGAAGGATCAATTTAGTCAAAAAATAGTATAATCCATAAACTAAACTAAGTATTTAATACTTCAGTCCAAAATCTAGAAAATCAAGTCCTACCCTGAATATGTTGTACACTGAATAGTGAACTAGATATGTGAATTTCATGCCAGAAGCAATGAATACCAGAAGTATGATTGGATTCTATGGAACATTAGAAATGATTATTCATAGATGATGCATGTAGCATATTACTACTTGAAGTAACTATGGCATGAAAAGGGGGAGAAATTTTGGGTAAAGGCATAAGAAAATGTGGGTAATATATATTTAATAGGCATAACCTTCCTAAATCTATCTTTAAGTGCATATATCAGGACTTGAAGTGCTAGCTGCGTCCCTTCCGGCCAAATTAACTTTCTCTACATTGCACTAATTGCAAGTAAGCTTGTAGCTTTACATTTTGTTATCTATTACGTTGGATTGAATACCAACATTCCACA